ATTAAAGCTGATTCAGAGCATGTATAGCCTTCTGGAGAATCTTCCCCCAACGCGGCAAGGTATTACTACCTAGCTGGCACTGTGTCTTCATCTTGTAAGGACTTTTCCAGGTTTCTATCAAGCCCACTAATCAAGATGATGGGAACATGGTACATCAAATGGATTCAATAAGCATGGGCCCATTGCCACACTTCAATTTCTGTGAAGTAAGATCCTTGATCAGAAGTGATGCTATATGGAATTTCATGACAGTGAATAAGTGGTTTTCTAATTTCAAGCATGGTAGCTCAAGCAGAGGCATTGCCTGTAGGAAAGGCAAATTTCTATCCAGAGTGTCTACTCCAGAGAGAACAAAATGCTGCCTCTTCCATGAGGGAAGCTGTTCAATGTAATCAACCTGGGAGCAGGTAGCTAATTGGCTGATCACTCCCTGGAGTGGTGATGGAGAGGGGACTCAGCAATGGTCTCCGCTGCAGGCAGGTTGGGCACTCAGCAATGGCTGTAGCCAGGTCAGCCTTGGTGAGTGGAAGTCCATGTTGTGGAGCCCATGCATAACCTCTATCCCTACCACCCAAGCCACTTTGTTCATCATCCCATTGGGCAATGCTAGGGGTGGCTGGGGGAAGAGACTTACTGATATCCATGGAACAGGTCATCCTATCCACTTGATAATTGAAATAATCCTTTTCTGAGGGCACTCTGTAGTGAGTATTTATATGAGATGCAAATATCTACACATTATCACCCATTCAGAGTGGTCTGTCCACATATCTCTTTCCAAGACTTTCTTGTCATCAAATATTCAATCATGTTCCTTCCAACTCCTTGACCATCCAAGCAAACCATTGGTCATAACCCATGAATTAGTATATAATCACACATCAGGCTATTTCTTTTTTCAAGCAAGATGAAAAAACATGTGTATGGTTGGAAATTCTACTCACTGGGACAATTTTACTTCACAAATGTACTTCAGGGATGTCTCAGAGAGGGGCTATAGTGCTACAGCTGACTACTTTTCTTCATATCAAACAATACGATTTATAAATGAGGCCTTATTTTTTTCATCCTCTGTTGACTGATTGTAGGGAACTTTCCATGAAGCCATAGGTGTAGGCTGAGTTGGTGAAGATTGTATTGCCATATGGAGACCATGGGCATTTGGGCCACTTCTTCATGTAACTTACTTGTGCCTTTGGGGTCTACTGGGGCCCATCATATATACTCCACTGTTATTTGATGATGGAATGCTGCTGTACACGTCCAACATTATTGCTTTACTGGTCAGATAATATCCAGTTCACGATGGGCAACTGTGATCACATGGTAGCTTTTATTATTTTTATTAGCATATTCATTATTAC